GGGGGGGGGTCCAGTTATTGCTGTCCTAATGCTTGTCGACCCTGGAGGTGGTTTGGTAAATCACTCTCTCCTGGTGTTTCTTGTACAGATAAGCAGAGCTGGACAGGAACTCATTTGAGACAATTGGCGCCTGGCTGACCGTGATTCAGCTTTACGGCTCTCAGATGGTTGAGAAGAGATGTTAGTTTCTAGGTGGAATGCAGAGATTCCCTCGTTCATTTGTGTGATGTTCGCAAATGCCTTACACCGTTGAAGTGAATCCCAAAGACGTCATCCAAGGAAGATCGGCATCCAATCAGAAGCGCCATGTTTCCATCTGCTAAGACAAGCCAACGAGGAAAACCCCGTTTTCAGCCAAAACGCAAGTAAACAAATAAAATCTTCTTCTCGCTGGGAACTGGTGCTGGTAAATCTATGTTAAGCAACTAAAGATAAGCCAAATCTCTGCTTTTGTGATTTTCTTGGGTGTGATTTAAAAATTAGTAGCAAATACTATACTTTTGGGACTTCAGTCAAACTCAGTAACTCTCATCCTCCGAACTATATGTGTGTGTGTGTCTGTGTGCTGTTGTAGTTTAGTTCATGTATTATTAGAGTAGCTCAAATAAATTATTGTTCCATTGCAAAGAAGCAGTGTCTTGTGTTGTGTATTTATAAAGCAACAATTTTGCCCAGATCTTGTTACCTAGCTCATAGGAAAAAAAATGTTACTAGCATGTATTATGACCTTTGGCCAAGGGAATAATATAAATATCAAGATTGATAAGATATACTGATTTTAACGTTTTGCTGGACGAATAGTTGATAAAGTGTAATTTATCGATTTTGAATCATATTTGACCAAGTGACTTCGAAGCTTTGGATTCGATTCCCTTTGAACTTGAACTAATTCTTACACTAGCATTTCCATGCCGTTGATGTGTCGCCGACCTTCCTCTTTCGACCACAGGCCGAAAGCCGGTTTGCCATCGCACATGAGGCCCAGCATCTTCTGAAATGTCTTGAGAGGGCGAGAGGCTCCAACTCTGAAGGAGGCCACGAGCCGCTGTATGGCCAGTGCACATTCTGGCGCGAGTCGAAAACTGCTCTCAGGAATGATATCCATTGCCTAGGGGACGTTGGCTGAATCGCGGGGATCTTCGAGAAAATTGGAGTGAGTAACCTCGTTTTATTATCCCCCAAACCCAACCAGACACTCCGGGGATGGCCTGCCAGGCCTCGGCCCGTGTGGCAAGCAGTTGGATTGACTCGAGTGGTAGGTCACCATGCGGGGACTTGATACTCATGAGTGGAAGAGAAAGTTAGCTCTCTTGTTAGACCGCTGTCACAGCGGTAGACTGCTTGGGCACATGCTAATGAAAAGGACATGCCCAGCTCGAATAGAATATCCATTACCCAGTGTTGAACGGAGGAATGGAGAACAAGAGCGAGCTTTCTTTGAGGGAGTTCCAGCCTGGCGAGAACTGATCCTCTCAAAAAATGCTTCGCTAGACTCAATGCTCTCACAGCGAGAGCAGTCAGCCCCCGTGAGCGTGGCCTCAGCATGGGCATGGCCCAGATGCGTCTAATTCTGAAGCTGTCAGTGATAATAGACATTAGTGGCATCCAGTGTTGGGCAAGTTACTTCCAAAATGTAATACATTGTATATTACTTATTACTGTCTTTTGAAAGTAATTAGTTACATTACAATATTACTGTCTCTGAATTGTAATGTGTTACACTACATTTGAGTTATTTTGAGTTACTTTCACTTTCAAGCATAAACCGCAATTACATTCAGAAATTATAGTGCTAAATAAAGCGGAATGTTATAAGCCCTAATGTACAAACAATAAACACAACAGCTAGCCTATAGGCTATTTTAGTTCTCCTCACTCCACAACAAATCCTTTCAATTTAACGGTATTCAGAACAAAACAAATGAAAAATATAAGTTGCTAAACAAGTCAAAACTAATTAATTTAAAACGAAACTGAAAGCAAACGCGTTAGTGCTCATGCAGCCTACCTCTCTCATTCGACACGAATCCAAATGTTTCCATATTCGTGATGTATTTGATTGCTAAACTATTATTTATTATGTAAACCAGGCTTTGTACTTAACGTGGATTGTACTATGGATTATTTTAATCAACGAGTGTATCTATATGTTTGGTTGACTGTATATTATTCTGATAATGAACAGGCCGCAATGTTTGCAGTGCTGAATTGTGTGTGCGTGAGGCGCCTTCGAGATCGAACAGCGGAAAATACTCCACATTCTTTCTCTCCTCCGACCCTACAGCTCTCGCGGTTAGTGTTTGTGGCACCAGTCCCGGTGTTTCTTCAGTTACTCGTGCTATTTCTCGATTTTGAGAGTTAGATGTCGCACATAGATTGCACTTGACTATGCCTTCTTCTCAATTTCTCTGCTGAACTGAAAATAACATGGAGTGTGTCTGTGTCACAGATGTAGAATCCCTCTCTGCAGTCATCTCAACCATGGAATTCCAGCAGGAAATAGACAAACTATTTTACCCTGGGAATTTTTTCTCTGATGCTGTTTTGCGGTGTTAGTAAATTCACCACTTAATTTTGAGTTAAAATATGTTGTTGTAATGTGCGCTACTGAGATTTTAACGAGTATAATATTACCAAAATGTTATTAGTAATGCGTTATATTACTGCATTACAGGAAAAAGTAATGTTCTACTTTAATCTCTACTTTTGTAACGCGTTATTCCCAACACTGGTGACAGCATTCTCTTCCAATCTGCCTAAGGCCTGGCACACACTAGATGATTTTCAAATCTTAAACGATTTTAAAACCATGGAAGACCACAGACATGAAGACAGTTCAACCGATTTTTAGCCTTATAATCCTCTGAACGCACACACTAGACGATTCGACCAGACTGCGAGACCACAGACTTGATGATTGTAGGAACAATTTCACAGTGACACGTGATCTCATGGACACTCATGAGCTCAAACGTGACTAGAGAGGAAAAACAAATAGAGGACAATCAACATTGTCAGCTGTCTCATCTGGCGCGCGTTCTGTTTCACAGTGAAAAACAAAGTATAAAAAAAGAATATGGGTGATGTTCTCTGCTTTCATGGCATGTTTGTGGCTGCCAAGTTTCTGCTATAGAAGCACGCAACATCCGATAGGTGACGCTTGCTCGCTCTCATAGGCTATCGCGGGTATCACACCAGAGGCAGCCTGATCAAGAGTCAGAGTCAAGAGACATGTTTGATATTTACGATTTGAGTTCGGGGACGCTCAGTCTCGATCGGGAGCAGATAAATAATCGTAATGACACCACACAATACAGGATTTTTGGGACAAAAAATAGTTTGCGATAAGCTGCGAATTGAGCCACACCCCCCGATCGTTCGGGGATGCAAATCGGGCTTAAAATCGGCCTTAAAATTGTAAAGTGTGCAGCCAGCCTAAAAAGATCAAAACCGCTCGTTAGAGGAGGGGTATTGCTGAACCTTGAGTGTAAACACACTGGCAGATCAAAGGTGCTGTGTGCATGCTCGTAGCAGACAAGGGGAGGGGCGAGCCTGCCTTCATTGAAGAAGGTGAACTGCGAGCGAAGCACAGCGAGACACGACTCTCGTATTGAGAGCGGTCTGTCTCAGTGAGCACAGCCTTAGCGTGGGGGTGGCCCAAGTGGTGCACTCAAATTCGAAGCTGTCAGCGATATTGAAATCATTGGTGACAGCATTCTGCTCTGATCCTCTTAGAAGGATTGAGCTGCTCGACAAACGAAAGGCGCTGATCCTCATGTGTAAACACACTGGCAGATCAAAGAGCTGTGTGGAGAGTGAAGCACGCGGGGGCTGTGCCGGCGTGAAATCACTCAAGCCTGATTGCTCAGCCCTGCGAGTTCGCTGTTTCTTTCTCCAAGGTAAGTGGGTGGAGAGAAACATGAGAGCGGTAGAGGCAGGGCCGCCTTCATTGAAGAAGGGGGTCCATGAGTGAAGCAGGAGCAGACTGCCTTAGCAATGAAAGCAGCCCATATCGGTGAGCATAGCCTCAGTGGAGTGAAGCAGTCAGCGATACAGAATCATTGGTGACGGCATTCTACTCTGATCCACCTAGAAGGATTCAGCCACTCGATGTAATGAGGGGCGCTGATCCTCACTTGTAAAACACACCGGCGGATCAAAGTGCAGCGGGGAGAGCGAGCATGCGGGCTCTCTGCCAGCGTGAGATCGCTCAGAGCCAGTTGCTTAGCTCCCTGACTCTACTGTTTCTCTCTCAGAGATTGCTGAGAGAAAAGAAACGGGAGAGCGGGGCTGCCTTCATTGAAGAAGGTGGACCGCAAGCGGAGAAGAGCGAGACTCATGCTCTCAGTGAGAGCATTCAGTCTCGGTGAGTGTGCGGCGCTGCCTAGACAGGCGACACACCCACTTCCCTTCTGCATCATGCAGGGTTTTCTGCACGAGCCACACTCGCAATGCGACATTTGCAACAACGTCGCTAGGAAAAATTGCTCTTTTTAGAACTCGCCGGATGGCGGCAGGGGATGTGCTGAGAGCTGTGCGGACGCTGAGTCAGCTTAATTCCGTTGCGAGGCGTGTCAACGGCGAGCGGCTTCAAGTTTCATGATGATCGTTGTCGCTGAAGGAGAAGAAATCTGAGGATCCTATGCCAGAATGCCTGCTTATATAGCCAGATGGCCCCGCCCATATCGGTGGGCTCTGGCGGGCTTCGTGGCCATAGGCTCGTGCAGCTCCGCTGACTCACCATTGGTTTGTTTTATTTCATTGTTCAAGCCATGGCCGTGCAGTTACACTGCGTAATTAAAAAAAGGCTTCAGTACTGGAGAAAAAAAAAAACTTTTTCCCCATAGCGTCTAGCTATGCAGTACGAGTGTAATATCGAAAGGGAACTGAAATATGACACTGATGTCTCTGTTCTGCAGATGTGAATGTGGGCGCCTCCACTACTTCTATAGCGTGGATGGTGGTGGATTATCATCGGTCGCTTCGTTCATTTCTGCCTGACAAGGACAATCAAGGTTGGTTGTCATCTGTGGTTTACTTCTTCTGGAACCTTTTTCTGATTGGCCCACGTGTGGCTGCAGTTGCTCTCTTTGCCTCTGTGTTGCACTGCTACATCGCTGCTCACTTCCTGTCTCTGTGGCCCGTCTTTGTGACATGGGCCTGGATGCAGAACACTAATTTCATGGACAGCCCAGCAGGGGAATGGCTCTACCGGGCTACTGTAGGGCTCATCTGGTACTTCAGCTGGTTCAATGTGGCTGAAGGACACACCAGAGGCAGGAGTCTGATCTACCACACATTTTTAATCATAGACACCAGCATCCTGTTGGCCACATGGTGGTTGTACCGCGATGCAGAGATGACCCAGTTGTACGCCTTCATTCTGATAATCTCCATCCCACTTTTTTATGTCTTGGGCCTTTTGATAAAAGTTCTCTACTATTGCTGTTTTCACCCCAAACTGTGGAGGCCAACAGATTTTGGAAAAGTGTAGCGTCTGCGTAGAATCATGCATGATCTTTGGGGTTTTATGGCTTAAGAGACCCTTTTAGCTTTTGACATTTGCATATAAATTACAGTCCTGGTCACAGACTTTACACTTATATGGGTGCTAAATGGCCAATGGTTCCCCCCACTATCAAGGAGCTGCTAAACAGTTTCACCACTCTCGTCTGACCATTGAATTTCAAACACATTCCAAAGAGACGTAAATGACCCCCGGGGCCAGGCACCGATGGGCCTGGCCGACCAAGCAAACTAACACACACACACACAAACACACACACGTAAAGACCTTTTACTCTATTATAGTTACAAATATATCTGGTATATTGCATGTGTTGTTTGTACGTTTCCCTATTAGATTAGCTGAGTTACCACTCGTTTATTTGTATTAGTTAGACTCTCAATGCTTATATTCAGGTATATGAGTGTATCTCTGCTTTAAGATCTTCTAGATGTTTCGTTCTTGGTATCAAAATGATCAGCTCTTTATTCCTCAAACAATGATCTACACTATGTGATCGTGAAATGCATCTTACTATTTGTAGCATATTTTGGGTAAAACTGCACCAATCTTCCAGACCAGCAATAAACATGCAAATGGGCCATAAACAGAGACAAAGAAAGTTTCTCCCGCTCAAAATTCATGCCTCTGATTGGCCATTCCACCCAAAAGGTGGGTGTGGATAGAAACCCTCAAAAGGCATTAGCCCAAATTTCCCTTTTGAGCTGATTTACTACAAAAGTTACATATGATGTAACGGATGGAGTGGAGCCGCCTGTGGATATTCAGGCCGACAATGCTTCTGTTCAAACCATTAACAAGAGGATGGGCCGACATGCTGCTAACTTCTACACAACAAACACCTTGTCTGCAATTAAAAGAAATGCATGTGAAGCAACTAATTCATCAGTACTGTAAAAATCAATGGCATGTAGCTTGTTTAACTGTTACAATTATAAATATATATATATATATTTTTTTTTTTTTGGATAATGTTACTGTTAAACTAAAGTCGATAATTTTGCTTCTATTAAAGGAATAATTCACCCAAAATGAAAATTACCATGTTTTGCTCATCATCATGACTTTCCACACCCGTATGACTTTTCTGTTTAGTCAATGGATCACAAAAGGAGATGTTGGACAAAACAACATAAAAGAGTCACTTTAAAAGAGTAAAAGAAAGGTTTGTTGCAACACATGCAGTGTATTCCAAGTCGTATAAAGTTATCCGATGGCTTTGTGTGATGAACAGACCAAAATGTAGGTGTTTTTCAAACACATCACTCATGCTTTAGTACTCAAATGAAGCGCAATCTGATTCAGTCAGTGTTCTTCCTTTCTTTGATTTGTGAAAAAGAAATATATGAACAGTCACATATATGTGTGAATTAATCATGGTGCCAAAACTATTTATATTTTTTGCACATATATATATCTGTTTAAAAAGTGTCAGTTTTGTCATATTTTGGAATCAATCACAATTGAGAAAAAAAATGAAACCCATCCTATGATCTTTGATTTTTGAAGGGATAGTTAATCTAGAAACATAAATTCTGTCATTTACTCATATTCATGTTGTTCTTAACCTGTATAAACATGACTTTATACTGCGGAATATAGAAGATATTTTGAGAAATGTCTCAGTGTGTTTTTATCAATTCAGGATAAAATTATATAACAATGACATCATTATCCAAAATCCCCAAAACTCTTTGGTTACCAAATTTCTTCTAAATCTCTTTTGTTCCACAATAGAAAAGTAAGTCATACACATTTGGAACAACATGAGGGTGAGTAAATGATGACACAAGTTTAGTTTTTGGGCGAACTATCCCTTTAAAAGATTTGGGTTTGATTCCATTAGGATTGATTCTCTACATTATTAGCATTTCCAATTCTATTAGCATTCCTTGAGGATTTCTTGACAAAAGTATGTTGGTAGAGACATCTTCTTCCAAAAAGATTGGATCTAAGTGTACAAAATCAGCCTAGAGTGTTAGCTTATTCTACTTGTCTCATTTTATGTGAGTATCATATCAATCTAATTTACAAATTACTCATTATTGTCAACACAGATGTTTGAGGTATTAGAAGCTTGTGTAGTATTGTAACATTACCCCCCAAAAAAGTGACATTTCCCTGTGCTATATTCTTGTATTTGGTGTTTGAGGCTGTAGTTTTAGTTTGATGTCAAATGCAAGGAAATCATCATGAGTCTGGAGAGTTGAGTTTTCTTGTCATGCTATGTGGATGCAAGCTAATACATCATGGGTTATGATGTCACTGTTCTGTTTAGTAATAAGGGACTTTTGACAAGTCTCCACTGAACGTTTTGTTGATGTATTAAATAAACTCAGCCAGACTATTCAGTGTCCTTTATGTGCTTCTCTGTTTATTTGTGCTCTTTGTTGTTTCCGAGTAACTACTGCCATGTGCTGCCTGTTGGGTTACTTAAGACTTATTGATGATTTCTACCTGGTGAATGATAATGAACAGTAATAAGGAAGAAATACCATAGATTTACACTCAAAGAGGGTTTTGAAACCAAGTCGTATCTAGAGACACAGGAGAGGACCACTCTTGGGCCAGTAAAAAAAACACTCAGAACACCCTAGAAATGCCCTGAAAACCAGCCAAAACGCCCTAGCATAGCAAGGCCACCCACTTTACAATATATAAATATTCCAATATAGTGTCTTAAAGAAAATATACAGTCAAACCAACATTTATTCAGACACCTTCAACATTTCACACATTATCACAGTTTATTCGCTATAGTTTAGAAAATGGTAATACAATATGACAAGAACTCTGAGTTAAACTGTGTCAGAACAAATTCATCTTGATAATGTCAGATAACACTTGAGCAAAACATGGTCAGGTCAAAGTGTCTGAATAATTTTTCCACTGTATGAAGAATTTTTGGGTGTGATATGTAACAGTTTACTTTATTTTGCTATCCTCACTTACATAAATGAACTATAGTGTCCTGCACCCACTAGTAAAAATCTATAAAAAATATATATATCTGGTGTCTGAATAATTTTTGGTTTGACTGTTTATTTGAATGAATTCTTCATCTCTGTTGAGGAAGTCTTTAGTACAACAATTCCTATTTACTTTAAGGCAGCGGCTATTTACACTAAATGCAAATAGCAATAAATGCTATTTACACTAAGTGAAAATAGAAGTATTTTCTTAGCGATACACTATTTTACACTAAGTAATTTACACTATGTAAAAAATAGGGCCTATTTTCTTTGTAATAAGTGTAAATAAGATGCTATTTGTACTACTAAGTGCAAATAGTGGCAAATATCTGCACCTCAGTATTGTAGTACATTATAAAACAGTATACAATAATAATAGGCTCTGACAACAAGGTGGGTATTTGCACTTAGTGCACTTTAATGCACATGTGGTTCGCAACACATTTTGTTTCAGGGCTCAATTTTTTCATTGGACTTTGTTTATTGTACAAAAGTTAACAGAACGAACATCTTGTCAGATTTACATTTGTACATTTGATGTATTTGGTGTCTTTTATGCAAAGTGAAGTACATTGCATTCAAGGTATACATTTTAGCAATTCATTTTCATTTTTGGCTGAGAATCACTGCCTACCACTTGGGCCTTTTTTTTTTTCCAGAATGTTGAACTTTAGATTTAGAAATTAAACGCGAGCAATTGTTTGGCATTTCCACTGATCTCTGTTATAGATCAGTGAGCATTTCCTACTTTGAACCAGTGCCTGTGAGTCTGGTCACATGTTTGTGACATCACTACATTCTGACATGACTAATCATTCAAAGACGTGACCTGGGAGGAGTTTATGAATGAGTCTAAAGTTTACTTTCTGTTTCAGACCTTTTTAAAGGGAGGTTATTGTCTTTTTATTATGCTGTAAGGCTTCGCACACTGGGAATGATGGAGGAGAGCTTCCCTTTTCATTACTCTTTATTGGAATACCTGTTTACTTTGGTAGGATTGTTACTGTTCCTGTTGGATATAGCGCTGGACATTTGGACTGTTGTGTCATTCTATCAGGATGGGGCCTATGTGTATATGGCAGTGATGATCTTCCTGCTGCTGGGCTCTTCAGTGTTGTTACAGGTGTTCAGCTGGCTCTGGTACTCTGATTCTCTGGAGAAGATTGAGACTAAGGTGGAGAAATTTGCATACCGGCGTTTGTTGATCAAACCATTCCACTTCCTGCAGCTCGGCATCTACCTCAGGTCTGTGACAGAATTGCTTCTCAATTTTCCTTTAATACTCTTGTGAAGAAGTATACTGAAGTATAAAGAATATACTTAAGTGAATGCAATGTTTTCAGACAATTTTCAGGATGTGTGGTGGTGGTGTAAAGGGAAGACAATAGAGTGTGTAAAATGAATAAGCAATGGTAAATTTTCAGTTTACATTTAACACATTTCTACAAAAATAAATGTACTGTATGAATAACAATTTTCATTTTCTTTTTTGTGTACTACAGTATTGACTTTTCCCAATATATTTTTATGTACGGTTGAAATATGTATCTAAAATGCTCAGTGTGATACACAAACAAAACTGACACTCTTGTATAGTATAGAAAGCAGTCTGTCAACAAAGTAGAAAAAAAAATGAAATGAAATTGCATGTGACATGAAATTAAATGAAATTTGCATATAACAAACATTTTGACCAGTGTGGCTCATACAATGACAAAAACACGTCACAAGTCACTGACACAATAACTAGGTTTTGAAGCATGAATTAAATGTTTTGGGTGAGTTACTAAATTTTGCAGACACACACAGGGGTCTTTCAGGACAAGGACCCCTTAGGCGAAAGAGACATGGATAATGGACCCCCTTATACAAAATGTGTCAAGCAGGGCTACATATTAAGCATATAGCCTTCAATATTAATAGAAACTGACCATATTATGATTTAGAATAAATATAATGTTACATGCATATTATGTTAAGTCAGTAGATCAGAACTATGCACATTATTGTTGTTGCACATGTCTGTATGTGACTTGTTAAAATGCATAATAATAAAAACATGTTGAGATAAAAATCACAATTCATTAGTTGTTTGCAGTTGTTGTCAATTATTAATGGTTTTTGCAGAGTCATACATTTTAATTTTACTAGTCAGATGGACATTTTCTGTTACCTGAACTTTAGCTACTGTCAGACTTTGTTCCGTGTTTTGTGTGTGTTTTGCTCCCCATGTGTTTCCATGCCCTTATTTGGTCCTTCCTGTTCCTGTCCTAATTGTTTGCACTTTGTTCCAGGTGTGTCTAGTTAATTATCCTTGTTTCCCTGTGTATTTAAGTTCGAGTCTGTGCAGTCTGTCTTTGTACAGACTTGAACGTCTTCACGTCTGTCAGTGTTTGTATCCCTGCGGTTTTGGTTTTATTAAAGTCTATGTTGAGCGTCTCCACGTGTCCTTGTTCCCTCGCTCCTTGAGAAACTGTGACAGAATTCCAGACCAATAACAGAAAAGTAAGCGTCGCCCCCTCTCCCCTTGTTTTATTTCTGTTTTAAACGTTTTTTGTTTCCCGGTTTTCCTCTGTGGCAATGGAAGTGGCCGCTCGGTTCACCTCCCTAGCTCGTCTGGATCTCCCCTTCGTTGAGTATTCCTGGGAGTTCTGCAGGCTCGCCGCGGCTACAGCGTTAGACGACACCACGCTCAACTCGCTGTTCTGGCACGGGGCCAATTACCATCGCCCCGTGGACCTCCCAGACACCACGGGACTAAGCTGGAGGGAAGGGATCCTCCGGTGTCTGGAGAGCGTCCGGCCCCGAGCCAGAACCAGCCAATCGGCCTCGGCATCCTCAAGCCCGCTGGCCGTTCCCCAGTCAAGCCCACCGGCCACGGCTCTCTCCAGACTGCCGGCCGCTCCGATGTCAAGCCCGCCGGCTGCGGCTCACACAAGTCTGCCGGCCGTTCAGCACTCAAGCCTACCGGCTGCTTTGATGTCAAGCAAGCAAGCAAGGACAAGCCCGCCGACCGCCCAATTCACCCGTAACCAAAGGAGGAAGAGGAGGAGGAGGAGCAGGAGGAAAAGACTGTTCACAGCCCTCATCCCAGCTCCAGAGCTCGCTCCAGTGTGGGCTCCAGCCCCAGAGCTCGCTCCAGTGTCTGCTCCAGCCCCTAAACTCACTCCATTGCCAGCTCCTCGAAAGTGCCCTGCTGTGCCTTCTCCTCCAGAGCACCCTCCAATGCCAGCTCCTCGAAGGCGCTTTCCAGTTCCCGAGTATAGCCCACGGAGGGCTCCAGTTCCCGAGTATAGCCCACGGAGGGCTCCTGTCCCCGAGTTTAGCCCATGAAGGGCTCCTGTGCCAGAGTTTAGCCCAGAGAGGGTCCCAGTCCCAGAGTTTAGCCCAGTGAGGGTCCCAGTCCCAGAGTTTAGCCCAGTGAGGGCTCCTGTCCCCGAGTTTATCCCAGTGAGGGCTCCTGTCCCCGAGTTTAGCCCAGTGAGGGCTCCTGTCCCCGAGTTTAGCCCAAGGAGGGCTCCAGTCCCTGAATCCAGTCCAGAGGTCATTCCTGTGCCCGCGCCTTGAGAGTGCCTACCAGTGCCCGCTCCTCCAGAACACCCGGTCTCCGAGTTCAGCCCAGTGAGGGCTCCTGTCCCCGAGTTCAGCCCAGAGAAGGCTCCAGTCCCCGAGTTTAGCCCAGATAAGGCTCCAGTCCCCAAGTCTGACCCACGGAGGGCCTCGGAGCCCGTAATCTTCTCCAAGTATTTTTTTGGGAGGGTAGTAGGGCTCCAGCCGTAGAGGCCGAGGTGGGGGCTGGGGCCGCGGCCTCGGAGGCTTCTCTGCCATGGCCTCCTGAACTGCCTGCACCGCCATGGCTCCCCGAGCTCCCTGCTCTGCCATGGCCTCCCAAGTCACCTGCTCCGCCATGGCTCCCCGAGCTGCCTGCTCCACCATGGCCTCCCGAGTCACCCGCTCCGCCATGGCTCCCCGAGCTCCCTGCTCCGCTGTGGGTCCCGGAATGGGCACCGCCCTGGAGGCCTTCCGTCCGGTAACCCTGCTCCTAGAGGCCTCCAGAGCGCCCTGCCCCCCCTCCCCGTTGGATGTTGTACGGCGTAGGACGCGCCTTCCGGGAGGGGGGAGTGATGTCAGACTTTATTCCGTGTTTTGCTCCCCATGTGTTTCCATGCCCTTATTTGATCCTTCCTGTTCCTGTCCTAATTGTTTCCGATTTGTTCCAGGTGTGCCTAGTTATTATCCTCGTTTCCCTGTGTATTTAAGTTTGAGTTTGTGCAGTCTGTCTTTGTCTGGAATTGAACGTCTTCACGTCTGTCAGTGTTTGTATCCCTGCGGTTTTGGTTCTATTAAAGTCTATGTTGAGCATCTCCTGCGTCTCCACGTCTCCTTGTTCCCTCGCTCCTTGAGAAACTGTGACAGCTACAAGTTTATTAAAAAATCACAATTTAATTTTACTGTCAGAAAGACAAATAAACATTTTGGTAAACTTTAGCTTCAAGTTTACTAAAACTTAACATTTTAATTTTTACTGTGAGATGGACAATTAAGAATCAAATCACTGAGTGAGGGTTTTTTAATAAAGTGCAGATATAATGTGTAAGCAAGGACTCCACCATGACAAGAATAGCAATGTACAGTGAGACATTCACGATTATTTACAAGGCATTACTTTTACAAAAAATTGGAATGGATTTTAAAATTGATACAAATATTTTTCTAGTAATCTATTGGTCTCTATTTACATTGCGCATATCTATTGCGACATGCCATATTTTTGTCCCGTGCTAGTATCACAGTAGCAACAGCAGATTCAGAGTGAATCCCACATTTATATGTAGATATAATTTCCAAAACTTTGCAGCGTGTTATTTGGCAGTGGTACTCTTATCAGCATTGAACTCTTAGAGGTCATTGAATTTCAGTCAGAGTTCTGCGACATTCACTCACCATTTACAGATACCATAAATGAGTAAAATATATGAGAATAAATGAGAATAATAAATGAGAAGTGCCGTAAACTGAATCCTACCTGTCGCAAAAAGTCAGTGACTTCTCTTATAAAACTGCATTTTTGTCGGTGTAAACAGTTGTGACAATTGCACTTACAGTTTAGAGAATGTTAAGACTGTTTCGAAATGTGCCAAAGCGATTGAGAAAAACTTTAAATGCAATTAGTTGAACTAGTGCTTTTTGACCCACTTAAGTAGGACTTAAGTATATCTTTATATTTCTTTGAAATATGGTTAACTTTCAAGATTTGAATTATTGTACACTGCAAGTGCACATTCAGTAGCTACAATTAAGTACACTTCTATATCACAAGACTAATGCTCAATACAATAGAGCACTTAAAGGCATCGTTCACCCAAACTCTGCCATCAATTGCTCATGTCTTTCTAAACTCATAAGACTTTTGTTCGTCTTCGAAACACAAATTATATTTTTAATTAAACTATTCACCCAAAACATTGACACTTCAATATGTTCATAAAACTCTGATCAACATGCATAGTCATAATCAAATATGGCAAATGGAAGCTCAAAAATGCATGCTTGAGGTATGAGAACCAACGAGTTTCGTTCTCTGGTCACACAAACATGTTTCATCTTCTGCAAGAACCAATGAGGTTTGTTCTCGTGTCACAAAAAAAAATTGTGTTTCAAAGTTGACACTTGTGGGTTTGGAATGGCATGAGAGTGAGTAAATGATGATAGAACTTTCATTGTTTGGTGAACTATCCCTTCAATATAAACATTAATTCAAAATTAAATAGAGCTTTTTTTCTTTTTCCTTAGTGCGAACAACTGATTTGGGTTATCATTTAAAAACAAACTCAACAGATGTGATTGAGAACTGAGACAGGACTCAAACTATTTACACATCTAAATAAACTGTGGCCTCACTGTTTATTGTATTGTTTTGTTGTATTAATTGTTGCTTGAGTTAAAGCAAGTACCTTGTGTTCACAGGTATGCTGGAGTGATAGAGATTTCCACAACACATTTTCTTCAGTACACTAATAGTTTCACAGAGGGTGTGGCTGTGTACCTGAACCATGATCTTCAGATGCTTCGTCTATTTGAGACATTTTCTGAAAGTGCCCCACAACTCACACTCATGATGTCTATAATCCTACAGAGAGAAGAGCTGGAGCTTATTACAGGTCTGTCTCAAATCCAGAGCACCTAATTATTTTTCAGATCATAATTCTTATGTGTCTCTAAACCACTTAAAGTGATAACTAACCCATAATGGAAAATTATGTAATTAATTGACCGTCTTTGTGAGTCATTTGTTTATAATTTTGTCATTTGTTTCGAAGCACCTGAAACACCACATGAAAACTCAGCTCAAACATATACATAATAACTTTTTAACCAGTTGCAAATGTTTTATTGAAAGTGTAATCTATTAAATGCAATTAACAAATCATATAATAAATATAAAGTGTCTTTTTAATATTAATTTATACAAAGTCATGAAACTCTAGAAGGTTCCAACTCAATCTGATATAATCACATCATTATTCACACAGCGCAGCTTATTGGTTTCTTTTCAGTCAGCAGCCAAACCCTTCACCTTCACCTTCCCCAGCTCCACCTGTATAGATCTGCTATGGGGTGATTTTATGTATATTATATGCGTGGGTATTTCATATATGTGCAGCAGCAGTATTTCCTACATGCTTACAGTAGCATGTCTGTGGATGTATTGGCAGTAGCAAGTCTCGGTTCTTGTTCTGCTGCAGCCGCATAGCAGATCTATTATACTTATATCTATTTGTAGGGCTTGTTTTGTTTGTTTTATGGAGAGCTTGGTTAATCAGACCAATAAGACCTAATAATTACAACTCTTCCTTTTTGGTATAAAAATGTGTCATGGAAAATGTCTACAAATAAAATGATCTGAGATCAGATAAAATATAAACACTGGTTCAGAGGTTCATGGAGATCGCCTCTAGCGGCAAACCACTGAAATCTCAAAACATTTCAAAGCAGTTATGACATAGCAAAGCCTCGTTTTCTCATTTACGGCCTCATTTGGCAGTTTGCCAAAATACTTACAGAAATGTACAGAATACTTACAGAAGTTTTCGCACTCTGAATCACTGGTTCAAAACAAATGATTCATTTCAAATAAATCAAAGGTATCAAAGCTTCACAAAGCAGTGTTTAGAAAGCACCCATCACTAGCTGGGATTATTCTGAAGAACAGCACTATTGCAACATGTGATATTGTTTAATAACATGCAATGGTTTTTCGTTTCAGGTTTAAAAATCCTCACATCAGCTGCTGCAATTTCCAGTAGCGTTGCTATGTACCACCGCTGCATGCGTGCCTTTCTTCCTAAAAAACGCAAGATGAGTTGGATCTCCACTGGTGTCTTCTTCCTGTGGAACTTGTTGCTGATCATTCCCCGTGTAACTGCTCTGGCACTCTTCTGCAGTGTATTGCCATGCTACATCATAGCTCACTTCCTGTCGCTGTGGATGCTGCTGGTTTTGGTGGCCTGGAGCCAGAAAACAAATTACATGGAACATTCTGGTTGGGAATGGCTCTACAGAGCTGCCATTGGACTCATTTGGTACTTCTGCTGGTTTAACGTATCAACAGGAAGCATAAAATTGAAGTCGATTCTCTATTATAGTTTCATGGCTTTGGACACAATGATGCTGCTGGGCTTCTGGTGCTGGAAGGTGTTTGAGTATGCAGACTGCTGGAGCTCCTTAAATCCTCACATAGTGATCCCGACACTACTAGGTTTGTACGTCATTGGAATACTAGTGAAAACTATATACTACAGATGGTTTCATCCCAACTGTGATGAAAAGAAAATCGCTGAACCCATTGAAGAAGGGCAGTTCAGACAAGCGGCAGCATGTTATGACATGACAGACTCGGGACAGACTTCACTTCACACTACAGCTGCAGCTCCTGCTCAACCTCTCACTGGAATTCTCAATAGACATAGGAAAATGGCTGCTAATTTCTACTCTTAGTTCTTGGTTCTTCTTTCAAAAGACCCCCCCCCCC